GTATAAGAGACAGGTGCTCCCCAGCCACACGCTGCCGGTGCCGGAGCCGCCCCAGCACCGGGCTGACGGAGCTGAGAAACCACCGTCCTGCCCTGAAGAGGAGCCCCTGCCCGTCACCGCTGCGGGGCTGCCCGGGACGGAGCTCGGCCCCGCTCCAAGCGTGACCCTGCTGGGGTCTCTCCGCAGCGTCAGGAAAGCGCACACAGGTCCCAGACCCTCTACTGTCACTTTTGTCTCCACTTGGCTGAGCCCTGCAAACGAACGCGCTGGGAAAGGCGCTTTCCACCCACCAGCGCGGGCAGAAAAGTCACACCAGAAACGAGCTAGAAAGGTTTGCTTTAAAAAACAGGCAGAAGTGACACAGCCTCGTTAGCTCTGCCAGGGAGAACGCCGCGGTGCAAACGGCATTTGGACGTGCTGCCGGTACGGTACGGTACCGGTAGGGGAGCGAGAAGGGAGGTGTGAACACCGTGGGGCTGCTTGCGGCACCGCTGCGGCGGGAGGGCCCTGCCTGGCAAGCGGGGGCATGGCGAGCCCTGGCCCTCACCCAGGAGCAGGCACAACGGGCAGCGCTGCCTGCGGAGGGGCTCCAGCTAGGCAGGCAGCTCCCCACAGCGCTGCCGAGGAAAGGAAAGCTGTTTCCTCCAGGGATTCTGCCACACAACCTCCCAGGATGCTTGTGCTCGGGCACGGAGGCTCCTGGTAGGGCTGAGCGGGCACAGCACGTGTTGGAGAGGGGTCAGCTTGAAGCAGGAGCGCAGCCCAGGACGCGCAGCAGGAAAGAGGGGGTGTCCCAGTCCAAAGCCCCTCGGCCCCACGCAGTGGCATCAGTGTTCATCCCACCGCTGGCTCAGAGTGTCCTTCTCCATGCAGGCCAGGTAGCGATCGTAATTCTTCTCACACCTCCTCACGCAGCGCAGGAAATAGTCCTCATCAGCAATGGCCTCCAGCAGGTCGGTCTGCACCAGGCAAACGTCATACAGCTCCGAGGTGGGAACGCGCCTGGGGCTGCTGCTGCCCGGCTCCGAAAACACCTGCGGGGAGAAAGCAGCGCACAGAAGCACTCGCCACCCCCTGCGGGCAGCAGCAGGGCCAGGGCTGTGCCCAGCACGAACGCAGAGCCTGGCAGCAGTGCCCTGCCCTCCTCCTCCTCGGTCAGGTACCCGCACACGGCTGTGGGTTGGAGGTAGAGGGCAGGGGCTGCCATCTCCGGTCCGGTGGTAGAAGGTGAAGTTTTCTTCCCTTCCTGCTCAGAAAGAGACTTCGGCTCTGAATCAGCTTGTGACAGATGTGGCTGTGGCTCCCCTAAGGAACAGGCCACACCACGCAGCTGGAAGAAGATGGCAGCTGGCCCCAGGGAAACCTCTGCCAACAGCCTGTCACACGGCCGGGAACAGGGTCTGCACCTTCTGATCTTTACCACAGCTCTGCCTAAAGCCACCTGGCAATCTGTTTCCCTCTCAGCGCTGCTCTGTCACCATCACTGACACAGGGACAGCTCTGAAGAGCTGGTGACTCAAGAGGAGGGGAAGCTGGTATCCAACCGCCTGATCCTGGCTGCAGGATAGCAATGTCCTGCCAGCGGGGCTGAGCCATGCTGGCCAGATGCTCAGCTGCTGCCCAGACCCCAGCGAGGTCTGCTGCCACCATCACTTGATCCCACCTCTCTGATCCGGGGTGGGGGGAGCCCTGGGGTGCCCCGAGACAAGGCAAGCGGCCTGACTGAGCAGCTGTGCTTTCTACAGATGGTGAAAGGAGGAATTCCTTGATCAGGGAAACAGTCTGAGGCTGAAATGCAGCAAGTGGAGCTGCGTGAGCCGTGCTCCAGCTGCTGCAGACACGCAGGCAGCAGCTTGCTGCACGCAGGGGCCGCAGGCTCTCAGCAGAGCTGTCCTAGGTAATTCCCCTCAGTCAGGCACGGTACAAAGCAAAGCCTGTTCCTGACAGGTCTGCTCCAGGCAGTGACAATTCCTGCTATCAGCTACGAACCCACAAGCTGAGAGAGCTTGTGTGGAAGTGAATATCTGACGAGTAACCCATTCCTCACCACTCCTTGGCTGCCTGGCAAACACTGCTGACCATTCACCAGCTGCCACAGGTTTCCCTGCTCCGTGCTATCTCCTCCTGGATGGAAACGGGCAGGGTTCAGGCTTGCCCATGGATCTGCAGCTCTTGTTGGAGCACTGACAGTTGTCCAACTGCCAGCTGCATTTCTGTCCGCCTAAACATTCCCTTTTCCAGGCGTGCTCCACCATAAACGCTGCCTTTTCAGTTCGGTGCCACAGACGAGCCACAGCTGTGTGCTGAGGCTGGCAGGCTCGTGCTCATACAAAAGGGACAAAAACCTGCCTGACCTCACCAGGGACACCCCCCAGCACAGGCAGCTGGCCAGAGGGGCCTCCAGTCACCCACCTGGGGATGAACAATGGTGTCCGCGTCGTCCAGCCGGATGTTGTCATCAATGAAGATGTGGTGAACGCCAGGATCGTGGGGGTCAATCCACAGGGGCTTCCCACCCCGGGAAGAGAAATTATTTCTGGCCCACCTGAAACAGCAAACAGGACAAGGAGCAGTCAGGGGAGGGAGAGGGGAAGGCAGGCCAGGCTCAGGGCCACCTCTGAGCCAGGGCAGCAGGACGGAGACTGTCCTGTCCCTCTGCCCGCTGCTGCCTCCCGGGCAAATCAGGGGGTGTTTGGGGTGTCCTGGGCACCCCAAATCAAGGTGTGTTTGGAGAAAAGCAGGAGGTACACCTGAGGATGGGGACCTGAGGGAAGATGCGAGAGCCCCATCAGGCTGCCCACAGGCAAAAGAGGGAGCACCCCAACAACATAAAAATGGCCAAACTAGGAGCTATCCCAGCCCAGGAGAAGCTCAAAGAATCACAGGAGAGAAGCAAATGCCCAATTCATTTCCTCAGTGCTCTGTTCCTCACCACTCAAAGTGATCTTGGAAGCCTCCAATTCCTTCAAAGGAGCTGAAGTAGTCATAAAGCTTTCTTCCATCTTCCCGGGTGGCCAGGCGCTCTGCTCCCCTTGTCAGCACCACCTCTCGCTTGCCACAGCGTATCTGGCCGGGGGTGAGGTCCACAGGGAGCTGCAGAAAAAAGGTTTCCAAAGCAAACAGGTTGTTTCATGCATTGGCAGAGACACCAAGCAGCAGGGTGGAGACTCCCCACCGCCACAGGGTGGAAGGATGGTGCTGGGGAGAAGACGAGGCATGGAACACCCCCACCTCAACCAAAAACGATTCCCTGCCCAGGGATGGAAAGGAACAACCTCCCAGCCGCACGCTGCCCCCGTTTCAATCTCTGCTCCACATCAACTCCCCGAGGAACAGTTAAAGCCGGTTGCAGCGTTCCTGCCTGTGCCAGGGAGCCCCGCTCTGCCACAGCGGCCCCTTGCCGGGAGAAGGGGTGCCCTGTCCAACCTGGGCTGCCCCGAGAGACCCTTCCCACGCAGGATCCGTGCACACAAGTGCTCCCCCTCCCCAGCGAACAGCTTCACCCCGAGAAGCCGACTGCGTTTTCTCTCCGCAGAAGCCAGTGCTGTTAAAAGCAGCCTGGCACGGGGAGGTCCACACAGGCCATCTGCCTTCCTCCTCATCGTCCTCCTCCTCCTCCTCGGGGTGCCACTCACCGCCACATCCCGCAGGGTGGGGAACTGGGGGTGCTGCCCAGCCAGGGCGCAGCTCACAGCCCGCAGGGCGCGGGGCAGGTCGGTGCCGAAGGTCCTGAAGATGACAGCGAACGCTCTCCCGTCCCGGTGCAGGGTGTCGAGGAGGCGGAAGAAGGCGGGTAGGATCAGGTGGTAGCGCTTGCTGGGTTCCTCCTGGACCGAGAAGACGTCGTGCGGCCGCCCCGGCCACTCCAGCAGCTGCAGGTGGCGGGCGTGGAGGCTACCGAAGCGCCGGCCCGGGCCCGCCTCGGTGAAGG